ATCCATTTCAAGTGTTTACATACAAAATGTTGTTATGTTTTGTATTTTTTCCTTATTATCATTTACCATTATTAGAGACAGTAAAATCACTGTGTTACTTGAGACCACAGCTTGCAATTTCACATCTCAGCACTTTGGAAGGCAAAGGGCTGTTGTTGAGTTAACCCTGGCCAGCAGCTCAGTCCCACACAGCCGCTTGCTCACTCCCTTCCAGAGGGATGGGGGAGAGAACTGGAAGGGTAAGAGAGTGAAAACTCATGGGTTGAGACAAAGACAGTTCAGTAGGTAAAGTAAAAGCTACGCACACAAGCAAAGTAAAACAAGGCATTCGTTCACTGCTTCCCATGGGCAGGCAGGTGTTCAGCCATTTCCAGGAGAGCAGGGCTCCATTACACATAATGGTTACTTGGGAAGACAAAAGCCATCATTCCAAATGTCTCCCCTTCCTGCTTCTTCCCCCAGCTTTACACACTGAGCATGACACCATATGGTATGCAACATCCCTTTGGTCAGTTGGGGTCAGCTGTCCCGGCTGTGTACCTCCTGCTACTCCTTGTGCAGCCCCAGCCTCCTTGCTGGTGGAGTGGGGTGAGGAGCAGAAAAGACCTTGACTCTGTGTAAGTGCCAGCAATCACAGAAAACCTCCTTGTGTTATCAGCACCATTTTTGGTCACAAATCCAAGCATAGTACCATACAAGCTACTATGAAGAAAATTAACTCTACCCAGCGAAACCCAGCAGAAGAAAGCAGCTTTATCTCCAGTTCCAGCAGCTAGCTAAGCTCTGTATTGCTCAGCCTGCTTTACCTCCATTTATTTTCTCGTAGCACCAGCCTATGTTGAGCTCTCATTATTGGCCTTTTCTTTACAGTTAGATAACAAGAAATGCAAACCTTTTACAGAAGAGTACTTGAGACTGGAGGATGGGATTGTTTACATGCAGGGCTTTCTTGTTTGGTTGGTTTTTTTTTCAAATTGGCTGCATTCTGAAGTGATCCAAGAATCACCTTATCTACTCGAAGATTTTTTTTTTAAGATAAAAACTGCTTCCCTTAAAAGATTCCTGCTTACATCAGGTTTCAGTAAAGCCTTGAGATGATGAATGGAAGTGATACTATATTGAGTATGTGGTTAGTTTCATGATAGCGTTACAGCTTGTGATTGCTTATTTACAAGCCCAAAAGGGACAAGAGAAGTCAGAACTAAAAGAAACCCTGCAGCTGAACACCACAGGAGCACATACCACCTTAAGACTTAGGCCAAAAGGAGACTTTCCAATCTCAATATCTAAGAACTCAGCAGCAGCACCAGTGAGAAAAACTTTGCCCAGGACTCTACCTCCATTATCTCCTCAGCTTTTTGGCAATGTCAGCCATTATTACCACTCCTATTACCATTACTACCACTACCAGTCATGATGAGAACCACAAGACAGGAATACACTTGGGAGGGTAGGACAGGTAAGAGAAGCAACGGTTTCAGCTCATGGGAATGTCTCACCAAAATTAGAAGCAAGGCACTTGCTAGTATGTCTTTGGCAACCTATGTGAACCCTACCAACCAGGAAGTCTCAAGTGGTACCTGGAAAGGGGCCCAGACATGAAATTCAGTATTCCCTCAGCAGCTCAGGAAGATGTTCCTTTCTACTGCAGCATCCAGAAGAGATAGGGAAAAAAAAGATGCAGTTAGGGCAGAAATATTCTCTAGAAGCAGCTATCGGCCACAAAAAGCAAAAAAGGTGGTTATACCACTTAGCAGAAGGACAGCACAGAGGGAGGCTGCAGCAACTGGTTATCAGAATAATCTTTATCTACTCAATCCAAAGTACACTTGCTAGAGCTGTGTATCTGACATAAAACAAAAGCTGCCTGTGCTATCACATTTTACAAATCTGTTTTTCTAACACTACTGAAGTAGCATTATTTTCTTAAGCAGATGTACTGATGCTATAGATAATATCCAGTAAATAGATACAAGGCATAATCTACAAGGGTCTAGTAATCTATGTGCTATAGATGCAAATACACAAAGTAGTTTAGCCTGCAGGTATCAAATAATTAATTTTTGAAATGGAAATTAATTTTTTGCACTCAAGGCTATGCCTTTGTCATTTGCTTTTCACCTTGGCCAAACTTTCAAGAACCTAAATACATAAATGCTCAATTTAATTCTGCTCTTTTCATCTCCTCCTCTAAATAGAGATTATTTAGATTTACAGAGGCATCAAGACAAGCTGACATACCTAAGAACTTCTTTCCCTTTCTTTGAAAAACCTGGGAAATGACTGCTGAAGTACATATAGTCAGTAACCTGAAGTACGTAAGATGGATGGGGTTTCCAGAATTCCACTAGCATTCAAACAATCTTTAAATAATTAGGCCTAAAAATAATAATGGAAGCTAATAACACTAGCACATTGCTATTCACTTGTCAGCTATAGATTTTAAGGTACATTTTTACAGGTATCAATTCAAGTTACGCAAGCTTTTTCTTTTTGTAATAGTTATTCTCATGTGAAAGGAGGCAGATGCTGTACAGTGGTATCAGTATGTTAGTTAAGATCTGGATTCATTTTCTCACACAGATGCAAAAGAATTATCTTTTATTATTTTATAGTCAGTTATTTTTATGTGATAAAAATGTGTATGTGCCTTGAAGGAAGTCAAGACAGCTTTCTACATTTTTGCAGAATAACGATTTAAGAAAGCATTTCCACATAACTAAGGTCAAAAGACATCTAATGTAAGCATTAAGAATGCTCCAAGTTAAACCACTCTGTCATTTTGAAACTCTGTTGCTGTAAATAGCTTCTAGAAAATCTGGTTACAATTAAGTCCAATTCTCAAGCAGTCAGATAAAAATTAAAATGCCTCTCTAGAAGCCAAAGCAGCAAGGAAAAAAAAAAATAAAATCAAAAAACTAAACAAAACTTTATATGACCAAAACTATTTTCTCAAGAGGAAAGACAAAGCAATGAACAAAGAAAATTTCAAAGACAAAACTCACCAAGAACAGATATAACTTTTAAAAATGCTGTATTTCAATCCATCAGAACAGTACATTTCTTGTATACTGACATGCAAGTTGGACCTCCCCTAAGGGAGGCTACTCTCTTCATCCCAAACCCCAAAGTCAGACTCAATGTGTTTTATTGTCCCTCTTAAGAATTAGGTTCTGAAAGTGAATCCACACCTCTGATGTGAATTTCAAGGTTTGTGGTGGTGTTTTTTCTAAAAATCACAATCTTGAAGGGACAAAGTATGACTAATATGACAGAAAAACTTAAACCATACAATCCACTGCTCTGTCTTTTGACTACTAAAACAAATTCGCATGTTATGAGACATGAGAGTTTCTGAAGTAGTAACATTTTCAGTATTTCCTCAGTGATGAACATTTACACTCCAGTATCACCTACCACATTTATGAAACCAGACCCACCCAAAACTAAGCACTAAAAACAATTAAGAAGACAAAATTGAAGCAGCAGTTCAGTATTATTTTCAACTTCATACACCCTCTCCATAAGACTCCTCCTTTAATTTATTACAGTAATGTACAAAATGCAGAGCCTGTCTCGACTAGAAAAATTAACTGTTGCTAAAGACAGCCACGGCTGGCTAAGTTGCTTAAACAGGACAGCACCTGGGGAAAAAAAAAGCACTGCACACATTTACATTATACTTCAGTCATAGTCTGAAGGCTCTTAAGGTCTTTCAGTACGTGAGTGGGCTCTTAAACAGAACGTACAAGTATGTGCTTGAAACGGACACGGATCCTTCTCGACACAGGAAACAGTAATTCACAGACCAAACACCCGGAGATGGCACTGACCACAGATGTTGAAGCATCAGCTACACCTGAAGAGAAACTGTGTTTAGCACGTTCTTGACATCCCTCTGCATTCAGGTTCTTTTCCCTTCGAAACCTCGAGACAATTCCTTCTTTAGGAGCACTGGGCACACAGAAGCCTGAAAGTGCTTTGATGAGCATGTATTTCAATGTCTTTTTGCCTTCTCTGCAGGAGTAAGGAGGCATCTCCCTAGTAAAGGGAGACTTCATGAGAACCCACTTCTGTCTGCCCTCACTGCCTTCCTTTCCACCTCGCTCAGCTGCTGTATTGCTTGGTAGATGGCCTTAACACTCTTCCCCTTTTCTTCCTGCAAAGCTGTCTTTCAGGCTACAGCAGTTGCCTACCACACCAAAAGCAGCAACTGAATAAAGAAAAGGTGCAGTGCAGGTCTGCAGTTCAGTGTGATTTGAAACAAACACCTGGGTGTTTAGATGTCTGATGTACCAGCTGATGCATCACTTCTATTACAGGCTGGAAGAGGGATCATGCTTTCCTTCAGCTCAAACCTACTGCATGGATAACGTACCATTCTAACTTTTTTTTAAAAAAACAAACTACTGGAAACCACCACTTTTTTGGTTTTTTTTACTTTTTTTACACATCATTCAAACTCTCATGAAATCAAGACTGTTAGCTAGATGACAGAAGAAGATACACTGCTGAGTTATTACAACAATAATTTTACACCATCTGAAAAATAGCTGTACAACAACTTTCCAGACATCAAGTTTCTTACACTAAAGATGACAGACCACTATTGATTCTCATGTTGTGCAAATACCAAACTTCATTCACTTGTCAAAGAAAAAAAAAAGTTTCAAGTTAATCAGCTGCAGATTACATTCTCCTGGTTTTCTTCATTCATTATTCTCATAGTGAAGATACCCATCAAAAAGTAAAGAATTATTTTTATTCTCAGCAAAATTCTAAAGCTACCAGAAAGGCAAAACAAACAGGGAAGGGGAGGAGTGAAGACTACAGTAGTCATTACCATACACTTGCATGCACTACAGAAAATAACACCTTTAGCTTCTATTTTTACCTTAACAAGAAAGTGGGAGACCATTATTAAGACAAAAAAGTTGATCAGAGTTGATCCTAAAGCCTAATCAAACCATATAGTCCAACTACCCACTGTATATTTTTACCATTTTAATGAGAAACTGTGCGAATTTTTGTAATCAATGAATACAGTAGAAAATACTTTTGGGGTTTTTTAGGACACCAGAGAAGCCACTCGTGCTAAAAAACTCACTGTATAGAGTTCACCACATCAGTTACCAAAGTCTTAACAGTTATTTAACCAGCTCGGAGCAGCAGTTTGACTCTGCCCAGCTACTGAATACACCAGTCTACTTCAAGATAGAGATACTTAGAAGAAACACAGTGGGAAATTGAATATGAAAACAACTAATTTATTATGGAAATAAAGTTTTCTTTTGCATACATGTAGAATCCCTATTATGGAGAAATATCAAACTATGGAGAATCAGTATTCTGAAGTAGAGGGTGAAAAGAGAAGATTCAGTCCTTTATAAACTTATCAAAGAAATGCACTAGGGTTTGCACGGGGATCCTTTTGGTTCCTGTATCTATACGTCAGCCAGACTCCCAGAATCTGAAATAAAAACCCAAAGACATTATTAAGCAGAGGGTCTCCACCCTATCTTCCATCAGTTTTAAATATAAAATCCTGACAATGAATTTCCAGTACACAAGTTTAGGATATTTTACTATTGCTAAAATTGCACAACCATACACCAGCTTTCTTACTTAGAAAAAAAGAACACACCTTCTCAGAAAGGATTCACACCTAGCAACAGAGAGAACAAAACAAGAAAGCCAAAACTATATCCACAATGGAATGCAAAATACTTCCCATAGGCATGTTTAGCATTAAATTATTCTTCCCCCTTCCCAAATGATAAATATTCATAAACCAGTTTTTGGTGTAATGAAAAACAAACCCTCCGAATTGTTTCATTTTACAGTTACCACTTAACTATCAGGCTATTTTTCTAGTACATTTTCAAATCTTGTCATTCTCCCCAACCACCTTCCCCCTTTCCCAGTAGCTTCACTTTTTTAGTAGAGAAATTGAGGGCAGATGTCAGAGTGATTCTGTTTAAGTTGCCGTATCTCTCTTGTTGCTGTAATATCTACAAACCTGAAAACTGCACTAAGCAGCAGGAGGAGTACTTTCACATGCTCTACTGTGGGGTTATGAACAACGTGCTCTGAAGATTTTTATCTACCAATCAATAAGGTAAGTATATGGATCATTTGGGTACTAAAGCAAAGAGTCAAAGACCTTTTTAACCTAACGTTTAAAATACAGTTCATTCATCATGAAATTGCATCTTTGCATTACAGGAGGCACAAAAACCAGAAATCCCCAAAACAAAAAAAGCCCTAAAGACTGTGTGTGTGCAGAGGTCGGGGGAGGCAGGAAGAACAGGGGAAAAAGGTAAAGCAACAACACTTTTTTTATTACTTTTGGAGAATGGTAAACCTGAATAACTAACTTTCTGCAAAACTTAAACTTTACAGCATTGCATTTTAATGTGGTTAGTTGCAGTTTGTAGTCTAACATGAAGTTGCAAGAACTCCCAGTGTTGAACAATGACAAGCCCTCCTTTTAGTAGACTTAAGCAAGCTGATAGCCTGGAAAAATTTGACCTAATTAGTTATTTGACTCCTGAGATAGTACTGAGGGTTCCTGTAAGAAACCCCCTAAAATTAGTTTTTTCACAAAACAAAGCCTTAAAAGTGAGGAAAAAGCACTCCATTTTCTAACCTCCTACTCACTCACCTCTGTGAAACTGAAGAAGAGTCCTATGCCTCCAACAAATCTCAGCACCATTCCAGAATATTCTTCTATTATTGGTGCACATGGTTGACACTGGCGACTTCTAAAACAATCCTGTAGCAGATACAGAGAATTGCACTTCATTTTCTGATGACACTCATTGACTGAAAGCACCTAGTTAGCTCTATAAAAGACTGCCAGCCATGGACCAAACTCTATCAGTTTTTTTTTAAAAACTCTACAACAAAGCATGTATACAAATGGCAATGGAGTAGAACCTTTGCAGGGTGCTCTGTGATTATGTTTCCACTAAGTTAACAAAAGAGCTTAGTATCACTGTAAGAACTAGCTTACACATTTGTTAAAAAATTCTTTCTGCAACTTTGAAAACAGTTGTACATTTTTGAACAAACACAATGAGAGAAAGTTATGTTTTTTCACACTTGAAGAACTTACAGAGGAGCAGGTTTCACTTGGATCAAAAACTCTGAATCCACAACAATTCAGATTTCTCTCAATATCTGCTCTTGCGCTGTCAGTGTTATTCCATCCCACCTCTAGAAGTTCACTCTAGAAGGCATAAGCAAATACATTATATTAATTGAACTGTTTTGCATTTCACTGGAAACCAATATACTGCTGATAATTCCCTAACTAAAACCTTCAGATCCTGAAGTCTAACAGGTTAATATATTAAAGTATGACTTGGATGTTCAAACAGCTTATGTAGCTAATGAAATAGCAGCACCTAGCAGCAGCACATGTACGGTTATAATTAATTTTCTTCCTCTCTTTCTCCTGAACCCAACAAGAGCACTAGTAATGGGACATGCAACTAATCTAACTGGGACTGCTGAGGCTTTAAACAAAAAGCGCACTTACATGTAAAAGCTGATTACTTAGTCACTGTGCCCTTGCCCACTTCCTATGCCCATGGCAGGGTGGTTGGAACTAGATGATCTTTAAGGCCCCTTCCAACCAAATCATTCTAGGATTCTGTGATTACACAGTAAGAATTACTCTCCATAACCCATGGAAGCTGGTTTTAGTTTCACACTTAAGGGTCACCTCTGTTCCTAATGTAGTTACAACCTTTCCAGTTACACAAGAACTATTCAGTGGCTTTATCATCTTTACATTATGATCATTGTAGATTTCATGAGCTTATCTGGAACTGCTGAACACATGATATAGTCAAGATACCATGCTGCTACACTTGTGTGACCATAAACCTACACAGGAAGTTTAAAAACAAGCTTAAAAAGAAAAGGAAAAAAAAAAAAAAGACAGCTGAAAGTTATTTTAGGACCCAGATGTATTTCTTTCCAGCTACCAGAGCCCAGCACTGCCATGCTCTCCCCATTTTGTGGAAGACTATCTATAAATATGTGTGTATGTACATATAAATTCATAGCATTATGCTACAGATTAACTGAGAAGTCAGGAAACTTTTCTTACCTGCTGTTCCTTGTTTAGTGCCAAACAGGCACAGGAGACAGAAAACTGGACAATGAAGACTAGCAAAAGAATAATCATGTACTGGAAACAGTAGTTAAGGATATAGTCTCAAATTAATTTTACTTTTATAACACATACGCCTAATAGTATTTCTTATTTCATTGGATAGTAAGAAGTCCTTTAAAACAAAGAACTATAGAAGTAAATTCTGACTACTACTATACATAGCTGGTATTTCTGGGTCAGGTGTTTCTTGCCTAGCAAGACAACGTGAGCAGAGAGGTTAATAAAAGGAGCTTTGAGAGAGAAAAATCTACAGCAAATTTGTCCAGCTTTAAAGGCTCATGTCGTCATTTCAAGACACTTCACTTAAAGTAGTAAAGAAAATACTTTTCCGGGCATTGCTTACTCAGATTTTTTTTCTTCTTTAATGATATAGTCTTGAAAGTCAGGCACTGTCTTCACAATTTGGCTGCTGTCTGCAGAAGCATAATTATCTCACGCAATTAAACTGTAAAGTGGAGGTCACTACTTATTCCTAGACCACAACCAGAAAAATAAGAATTTTACATGATGAATCTCTTTTCTCATCCAAACAGATCGATTTTGTTATGCAAGGCCGCACCACAGACTGCTTACACAGTGTCAGTACGCACAAAGGGGCAGCAAAGTACACTGAGAAGGCCTGTGCTCCTTTCTAGCCTGGGTTCGCAATTAAGGATCAGGTATGATAAGAAAGTGCTTCTTGACAGCCTGTATTACCAACAATGCATTCCCCTGCCAGCTACAACCGGCTCGCTATCTGGAAGCACCACCTTTTTTTTACCATTAAACATTAATAGTTCACACAGCTTGGTGTAGGCTTGAGCACACAGTAAGAGGCACACGTGCCACAGTGAGCCACCATAAAAAGCTCTCAAGAAATTAAAATATTTTAATTTTTAAAAAGAGGAGACATGAATATTTCTGCCTTCAGAACACAACCAAGGGTGAGAAAAGGACGCTGGAATAAAGTTGAAGAGGAAGGAAGTTTAATCTATGCTGCACTTGACCAAAGAAAGACTGTGAATTTCTGTTGTTTCTGAAGCACCTTCCACATCAGTCTCAGCTGACAGAGCAGGTTGTTTACGTGGCTTGAATGTAACCCATGTAATGCATCAGAAGGATACAAAGAATAGCAATACTTGATGGTGTTTCACTGCACCAATCAATCCAACCAAGGCAATAAGGAAGAGGAAGATTCCTACTGCAATTATCACTCCAACAACTTTGAAACTAGAGACGAGGCCGAATCCGATTCCCCATGCCGCAATTCCAATCAGCAGCAGGCTTACCAGCTGGAGGGAAGAGAAAACAAAAAGTTAGTCTGCATATTAAAAGAGGCTCAACCTACAAACAGCTACATTCTTTACACTAAAGCTGTTATTAGAAAGGTACAATTTTTCTTTCCAGTGCAAAGAGAAGAAGCACAACCCTAACAAACCAATCCTCCACTTCATCGTAGAGGTAACTTCAGTTCTAGATGTTTCAAGGCACACATATTCTTCAACACTGTTCACATGGAGCTGTTACAACTTAATCTACCTGTAAGTCAAGCCATGTTGCGCTATCTGTAACTGACTAGAGACACTAAACTGAAGTGTACATTATAACATAATTGACAAATAAGCTAAAAATTATTGGTTTTGATTCACAGAATGGAAGAATGAAAATTCTAGATGTTTTCTGAAACAGGAAGTGTATTTAAAGAAAATAGGATTTACAGCTCCACAGCTCTGAATATATAAAAAGGTACACTTTGCCAAAATTAACTGTAATAAGGCATACAGCTGTATTAATTAGAGAAGCTTCTACATAGTTGATGATATAACGCAACAGTTAACAAGGTCACGCAAAAATACTTTTTAGATCTGTATCTCAAGGACTTTATGTGGTAAAACAATAAAGGTGCCCTATCTCCGCTACATATTTCTTCAAGAAAATAGCTCTACTATGAAGTCAATCCTATTTCAATACTCAAAACACTCTTATGTTGTTTCCTTCCTTTTAAAGATGGTATGCAGGGAAGGCAGGCAGAATCTGTCCCAGTTAGTTTACTGGGCTTTATTGTTTATATGGGCAGGAAGCTCCAGCCTTTCCTGTTTCCACGCCAAACACACAAAACAACAAAAAAAAATTCCAACATGAAAAGCTGCAGAGAAATCTGTAATGAGGTACAGCAGGAAGGAAGCAGCAAAGACAACCCAGATGTCCGATACACAAGATGCCTAACACTCTCGTTTGAAACAGTTAGACCTATGTGTAACATACTGCTCATTATGCTCTCTGTTAAATAACACCAATTCAATATGCAAGTTTTAACTTCCCAAAATCCTGACCTCACTCCAAAAAAATCCTAGAAGTTGTATTGTTATTAAAAACAACCAACCAAACAAACAACAAAACAAAAAAATGGAACAGTAAGCATTTGGTCTAGTCCAACTATTTGGCTTTATTTGACAACAAATACAGAGCAAGCACTTACACTGGCTCACCAGTTTCCATTCAAACAAGATATACCTCATGACGTTTTACTGCTTATCCAGAGGGGAGGAAGTTGGGGTGTGGTGGGAAAAAAAGAGGAAATTTCCAACATATCATTTCAGTATACTTACCCTACAGCAGAGCATTTTTGTTGGTTCTAATACCAAGTATGTCTATATTTTTTCAATGTAAGTATCTTTTAGAAGACTGACCTAGGTAATGCTGCTTTTGAAACATGGAAATCTAAGCTAACATCAAGAAAGCTAGTAAAACAAGTAGTGATGCTCAAGATCAAAACACAGTAGGTGTTTTTTTTCATGTGTTCACACAGGAACACATCTCAAAAAAACATTTTTATGAAAAGCCAGTAATCCACATGAGAAATTTAAGAGAATCTACACGAAGAAAAGAAGGATACCTACACCTCTCTCTCACCACATGAAGAGACAAAACAATGGCATAATATTCAAAAGAATTGTTCGATACCAGTAGAGTTTTAGGATTAATTCACATTCGTGTTTGTTTCTTTTAAACAAAAAGCCTTAATCACTATGTTTATTTAAAACCAAAACACCAGGCCAAGATGTTGTGAATCTAAATTACAGAGACAAGGGAAGAAAAAATAAAACAAAACAAAAAGCATAGGCTCTGCCACAGACAGATTTTTCTGAATGCATGCTGCACAAAGCTATAAACTTCCTGATGTTATTACATTAAAATTTAGCCTTGCTAATCAGACAGTTAAGTGTAAGACCTACCTGTTCTAATCTATGCCCACTCATTTTATTTCATTGTCTCATACTACTGGGAAGATTTATTTTTCCACATAAGCGTCAGAAGTGAACAACAAAAGAAATCCCATAACCCAATTTCCAATCAGAAAGTGCTGGCTGATGTCCCATGCTTTGCATCAGCTTCTAAGCACTGAACTCATACTGCCACCACACAGCCCTTCCAAGTGTTATCTCATAAAAAATCCCAAAGGTAATGTCAAATTTCAATTTATTTCACAAAGAAAAGCAGAAGAAACTTCGCTCCTAATGATTTTCACCAATACTTCTTTCTTCTGCCTGAGCTATGACTGCAAATCTTTATTTTCATCAATCTGCCTCCAGGATACCAAAATGTGTATTTGTTCAGCTCTTTGCTCATTTCAGAAGAGGTCTAAAGCAACTGGATGAAATGGGTTTTATTCTTCAAGTATCAATACCAAAAGAAGCAACCTAAACAAAATCTGTGCTTAAAACACCTAATCGATAAATGCAGTGCGGGAGCTGCAGGGTACTGGTTACTTCTTGCTGCTGTTACTCACCCCAGCTTCTATTATTCTGATGATACATACATGAAATTAGTGTGTGTGACACTAAAAGTTATTATCATGACCCCCTGGCCCAAAAAGTTTTTCTGGTGGAAACAGTCACATACTGAATCTAGAACTGCTATGGTTTTCAAGTGGAAAAAAAAGCCTAAGCTTTTAAATCCATTATTGAACCCCAGATGTTCAGGAATCAGGTGACCAGTTTTGAAAAATAAAATAAAATAATTTAGTTTCTCTTTTGATCACATTCTAGTTTTAGAGCCCTCAGTCTCATTTTCAAGCTTTACCTCCACAATACCAAGGCTATATTTTCACTTCTTTTACACGACAAAGTTGTCTGTTGTCCAATTCCTTAAAACATCTGGAAATTCAGTATGATCACATATCCATGCTACTGGGCTGTGGTTGGCAAGCTATGTGACAATGCTGTATCCAGTCAGGCAGATACACATTTTGGATCAAAATAACTACCAGCTACTCCAATTCTGGCCACTTAAAATCGTGGAAAACTGACTTCATGTTTCAAAACTGAAATGGAGACTGCAGGTTTACAAACCATTCCAGAAAAAGATTTAGTATTAAGTGCCTGACTCCTCTGCATGTTGACTGAAAGATGAAATTATGGTTATTCCTTCATTTTCACATTTGGATTGGACTATCTGAATGTTGAGCAATAACACTATATATATTTAGTTTTATAGTGCCATAATGTTAAGAACTAAAGTAAATGCACACTACTACAAACAGAAAAAAAAAAACTTAAGCTCTTTTGGGAAGAGGTTTTACAAGTCTGTAAAACAATGCAAGGCTCAGCATTACGCACTGTTTAGCTGCTAGAAATGACTACTCAACAGTGCTTATTCCAGTGTTTTGAAACAAAAGGATTTAGACGCAATATTGCTAAAAGTGAAGCTGCTAAGACTTTGTAGTAAAACACACTGAAAATTACTTAGTGACCCTAACTACTTTTAAATGAGTAATATGTACATTTTAAACATACAAGCTTTATTTACTTACAAAGAGTCATCTATTTCTGTTAAATAAAGGAAAAAGGACTCTCTACAGAACTTCTGAGTGTCACATTTTATGGTACTGAAACCACATTTCACAGCACCAGAACTCCCCTAAAGAAAAAGCGTCATCCTTGGAAGACTGAAGTACATGTGAAACTCCATTTTACCTATATGAGTTCCCTTACATAAAGCTAGCCTTGGTTACTAACACTTATTAAAAGTGTTACTACAACCATAAAAATATTTGCTTGATAAATCTACCAGAAATATATGAAATCATAGTCCATTTTTTAGTCATTAGGACTGATCTGGTTTCCCACAGTAGTCTCATTAGTAAGCTGAAAAGGCATGGGTTGGAGAAATGGCCTGTTGAACTGAATGACAACAGGGTGGACTGCTGAGCTTAAAGAGTACCAATCAATGGCTCAGCACCCAGCTGGTTGTGGGCAAGGAGCACCATAAGGCTGATACCGGGGGCCAATATTATACAGTACCTTCATCAACAACCTGGGCGTTAAGACAGAATGAATCCTCAGAAAATTTGTGGGTGATAATAAGCAAGGAAGAGTGATTGACTCTCCAAATAGAGGTTCAACTCAGATGGACCTTGATAAACTTGAGGAATAAGCCAACAGGAACCTCATGAAGTGCAAAATTCTGCTCCAGAGGTGCTTCAGTGGAGCCTGGGAACAAACCAGTTGAACAACAGCCTTACTTACATAGATCAGGAGATCAAACTCGTTGCCAAATTGAGTACGAGCCAAGAGTCTGCTCTCATTGCAAAAAGGGAAAGCCAAGAGGAGTGCAATCAAAGGAAACTCAATGCTGGTGAGACTGCAGCTCAAATACCGTGTCCTATTTCAGGCCCCCCAGGTTGAAAACAAATTTGAGAACCTGAAAAGAGTCACCAAAATGGCCTAGAGCCACAAGGATGATGTTTGAGAAGCAGGTGATGGAGCTGGGCTTGTTTAGTCCGACAAAGAGGCAGTCTAAGAATTATCTAATAGCAACTGGAGCTGAAGGCACATTACAAAAACAACGGAGGCAAACTCTTCTCAGTATCACAAGTAACGGCTTGGGAGGTTCAGATCTGACATTAGGAAAAACATCTGCAAGGTGGTTTGGTGCCATATTCGAAGAGGTGATCATCTTTGTTCTCAGAGGTTTTCAAGACTCAGTAGACAGAGCCACAGCTGGCAAACAAGGGTTACTCATAATCCTGCTCTGAGCAGAAGCCTGGACAGATGGGCCCCAGAAGTCCCTTTCAACCAGCACTCCCACACACCACAGCCAGCTCTTCTACCATGGAAATTCTGCCATTCTCCACATCAAAAGTGAAAGTTTTAACAGGCACATAAGAGACAGATTTAGCACTGACCAAGGACTCGTCTGTACCATCTAGCTCATTAAATAGCTCCTAAACCCTATATCAACAAAACACCTTCTTACAAGCAGTAAGAAGGTCCCTCAATAAAAGAGCAATGAATG